GCTGACTGACAATCGATGACAGACACGTACCCGTGCAGGCATACGTTTTCAGACCACACACAAAAGCCAGCCGCGATATGTACGAGTGTGTGCGTTCGTGATTAGGATAGTGTGACTGCTCCTTTTCATGCTGTCTTGCCGATTCATATGGTAATCTTGGGCCCAGGACGTTATGCTGTCTTTATTAAGTGCACCAGGTCTGGCCCATTTTGTCTGTCAGTCTACCTCAGGAATTTTTTAGTATATAAGTATAAACATGGAGAGCATTAGAGTGTTATAATACTAAGTAAAATTTTTAAGTAATTTATTGTTAACACATTGTATAACCGTTCTAATTAAAAAATGTGTTTGATTCTCTTAATGTAAAAATTCCACTTTAATTATTTTTTCTTTTATGAAGATTTGTATACAACTATTGTTTTCATTTGATACACATTAATGATTATTCAAATGCGATGCTCTACTTTGAGATTTAAAACGAACTCTGTTATTAATTTACACCACATCACTTGTTATCATTAATTTACATATGTGCTTCTTTTAATCATTACCGATATAGCAACAAAATTCTTCCTCTGAACAACATTTTCATAAATTTGACTAACAAGAAATGTCAATAATACGTCTGGTATCGCAGAAGAAAGAAGACCGAAAGAATGGACTAATGAGCTTCGATAGCTGTTATCGATACAATAGAGCCGCTTCAATTCTGTCCCATAAACAATACCGGTAATCTTCACAGCCATTGTACTCTCGAGAAAATGTTAGAATAATCGTATTGCAACTTCAGAATTCAATTTCAATTAACTCTTTAACTCCCAGACATCTTAATTAAATAATTCAAAATCCTCTTTGAGAAGAAGAAAAAAATGAAGAAATGCTCTCTAATGGGGGGTGAGATTGATCATATATATATATCGAATGGCGGCGAAGCTCAAAGTTCCAGACGAGTGACAACTAAAGGAATGGCCACGAATCATGGGGTTCCCTCGAGTCGCTAATTTCTGCTGGTCGCGGCCAGTAAAACGTAGTTAATCGTCGAGCTCGTTTGAAGGGATCGCTGGTGAAACAGCGAAATGAATAGCCATGGTTATTCGGCCGGAAAGGGTGGAACGGGGCCCGGTCGATGTGGGAGAACGCGAGCCGAGAGGTGGAGGGCGGACTGTCATAAATTTAAGGAACAATTAACATTCAGAGTCGGTCTGTTCCCACAGGCCTTCTATACGTATCTGTATCGCCGTGAGCGTGGCTATAGAAGAGAGGCACAAGCGCGCCGCATTCGTGGCACAAAGTCAGCTACGGCGTTATGCAGGCACCGTGAAAAAGATGCATATGCACCGCGTCGTGTGTGCGCATCGCGGTGCTCGCCGCGAGGAGAAAGGAACGGAACGATAGAGATAAAGGTAAAAAGGAAAAGGGAGGACGATACATCGTTCAGGGGTTACAGGTTAAACTGTTCTCTCAACACCGTTCCTGATTTATTAATCATCGTTGCTGCCCCAGGCTACCTATATTATTATCCCCTTTCCATCTGCCACTTCATTTTTCTTCTCGAAAATCATACTCGCGATTTTTACCCTCTTACATGACACCATTACTGCGTTCAAAGTCGCATTAACCCGTTCGATCCTTGGCCTCAAACGATACCGAAAAATAATTTATTTTCAGGTATAGAACAAGGTACTTTAACAATTCAACTATTCTATACATCGCTGTAACTAACAATTTTATCAACACTCCCCCATTCGTATTAGTTGCCCAGAGCGTTTGGATACGTACAATAAACATTTTTCTTCATTTTTTCTTTTCTTTTTCAATTCAACGATAGGATCAATGGCTATGTATCACAAGTTCGTGTAATGCAACACCGACCACGTTTATCTGAGCATACCCATACGATAAGATCGTGCCGTTATCGATATCTGTTCTTATCGATCAAAGGGCTCGAGGATAATAATGTTCAACGATGTCGTAGGAGGCAAGGAAGATCTTTGAGACTGATTCCGAGTCGCAACTTTGTTCGCTGTTTCTTCCCACGTTCTCATTACATCGAATTATTACTTTGCTCGTTTCCATTAAATCAATATGGAAACAGAGATAATTGTTGTCATCGAGAGGTTTCAACGAAAGATATCGTTATTTATTGCCGTGGAAGAATTATTATTATCAGAAAATATTTTTTTTTTAAATACACTTCGTAAAATAGAAAACACGAGTGATAGAAATAGGTAAAAATTCGATCACTTGTTGAAAATAATTAAAAGTATCAACTGCTACAAAATCAGTGAATTATTCAACGATACACGATCGTATATTACCGTGATTAAAATGGCACTCCATATGATGCCAACGCTAATCGCTAATTACACATTGCCTTAATTATCGAGTCATTGTTCGAGTGTGTTGAATAAATAAAATACGCGAAATAATATGCACGACAACTTTATCTCGGATGCTGCAATGCTCAGCCCTCAGGCGGTTCCACCCCTGATACGTTGATCTTGCAATTATTTTGAATTATGTTCCTTTTAAGGGGAGGATCTGATCCAGAAATTTCAAAAAATTGATTTTTCGGATGTTCAATTCTCTAAGAGTATTTTTGTAAATGGATTCCATCCTCCCTATGACGCACGGGATATTAATCAACTTTCTTCGAATCGCGATTCGCCTCGTAACCGGGGTTATTTTTAGCCCGAATGTTTTCTGGTTAAATTTCGCGATCGATGGATATGACGTATAGAGCTCGCAACATTACTGACCACGTTACAAATATTCTATTATTGCTCTGTATCTGACATTTCTGACACGTCAGATCTCCCCTAAACGAACGCGTTCGTCTATTTCAATTTCCCCTACACATGTAGCATGGTGAATAAATGAAATAGACGAACGTGTGTTCGTTTTGGGGACGAGCCGTGGCATATCAAAAACGTCAAACACACGTCTGGACTTTTCTATTCGGTAAAAAATTTGACGATTAAACAAGTACCAATGCAATCTATACTATTTTCAATTTAGTTAATAGCAGAATTGCAAATAAAGCAGAAGCTTTAAAAAGTCATTTAAAACAGGGCTGGAACAAAATTATATTGTCTTTTCTGAAATTGAACAGCATTTAATGTTTACCAGACGTGGGCATGAAATCGCTCAAAGCGCAGCTCTTTTGTCGGGCTTGTTTGGAAACTCCTGTCTACTCCACTGATCTCGGTAAGTAGTAGAGAGAAGGAATAGGATCGTGCAGAGATAGAATAGCAGAGGAACGACTAATAAGTGTATAAAAGTGTTTTTAAAAAAATGCAACAAAAGAATTCCCAACAGCAAATAAATACTAAGAAATTCGATCCTTTCTAATTGATCAAGAAACATGAAAAAAAAGGGTTGAATGAAGGTACAGAGGAATAAGAAGATTCACGCATGGACTTCGAACAACGAAGAAAAATAAAGGACAAGAAATGGAAGAAAATAAAAATGAGAGAAAGAGGTGGAGGAGAAAAGAGAGAAGAGAGAGAAGAAAGGGGGACAGAGAGTTTGCAAAATCGACGTGGCAAGAGCCTGGAGGTGGACGACGCGTAGGGCAATAAATATCGTGCGATTAGATCTTCGAAGCAGCCGCTGTTGGGGTTGCTTACGAACGGAGGGAGCGTCTATTAATCACTCGACGTTAATCAAGCCAACCGCTAAGTAGGCCGCCCCGTGGCATTAAAGTGCATTGCCACGTACAGTACCGGACATGGTGTACGCGACATTTGGTTGAGTGAACCAGGAAATCAAAAAATAGAATTTTGTTTTAACTATAATTACTGAGTTTCATAATTCATATTAATGAAATATTAAATTTAGGTGTTAATGAACAGCGAAATCTGGGTCAATTGAGATCCAAACTTACAAGACGTATACAAGGGTATTACTCTAAAATTAAATGTATGATTTTTTAATTAAAATCTTTTATATATCAGTAGAATAATTTTTAAAGTAACAGTGTAAAATTTACTCTAATTAATCATTTTGTACTATATTGAATATCATAAATGAGTAAGCATGAACACCTTGTATACAAATATCTTCATCAAATATTTTGCACAACCATACATACAGATAAATAGATAAGCGAATAGATGTATAGATAAATAGATCGTTGAGAAAAAGCGAAAGGGAAGATCAGATTATCTGTTCGAATACGGACCCCTATGTGGTTAGCTTTTTTAGTCTTCTATTATTGAAGCGAAAGGCTTCTACCTACCGCAGGCCACGCGCGCATCTCTCCCCTCATTTTTAAGGAATTAATCAGGGCTAATTGCCAATCTGTAGGAAGGGGAGATAGAACCTTTCTACCAGGCAGAATTACAAGATTCCTTCACGTTGTTTCGATTCAAGAGTTAAAGTAAATTAGTTAAGTTACACTTTTAAAAAAAGGTAAAAGCTTGTAAAATAATCAATACACTATAATCACAATCTTCTATAATTAAACAGGATTTAATTATACGAATTATTTAACTATAAATTCTTTCTACCTGAATTTATGTTGAATTACGTATTGTAAACAACGCCTCAGTAAACAAAAGGATCCTCACCATGCGGTGCTTTGCACGTCTTATCGACTCGTCACCGATCCCCCCCCCCCAAAGTCCCAAGACGCTATCATTAGAATACTCTGGATTCCGTAGAGATAATTAAATCGTAAGACGTCAATAAATAAGCGAAAACGATTTTCGATTTTGAAAAGACACCCCACGAGACGCCCACCGTCTAGATGAGTCCCGTTACGTAATAACTTGAGTCCTTTTTCCCTGCGCATTCTCCCGCCAAAACTAACCTAACTTATGGCGGCCGCGCGTCACCCTTCCATTTTTGTAAATCCCTTATCCTTTCGCTTTTTGAGTTGCCACTATTGTGGCTGGCGCCCAACAATCGTTTAATTTATATTGTATATATTGTATCAACGTATATATTGTAACCGTTTTCATTTCTTACTTCTAAATAATCACAATGGAAAGACTCACGTGAATGTCCTTGCCGAGGTTGACGCGTAGATCTCAGCGAAGGAAGAGATGATCGGTCTATCTCAAAATGGTACATAATTGAGCTAGGAACTTCTCAAAGGCACGAAATCTTGTAAAAAGACGATATATTCGATAAATGCGATGACCATAGTGGCGATGACTCCATCCGTTGTCGAATGTTTAGGTCACTCGGTGTCAGATCGGTTTCACACGTGATACATCGTCCACAGATAATGTTAGATTGAATAATCGACGGTACGGCTCGCGCAGGTAATTAATTCGCCGGTGGAACATTGCACTGTTTGTTAATCGTATCGGTTACAGATTATTATTTAGAAAGACGCGACGCGACGCTATAAAGACGCGATAGATTTTGAACGCGACACTGAACTACGCACAAGCGACACCTGTACTCGAGTGAGCGAAAGACGCAAAAACAAATCCTGAAGTGATTCCAAACACGACCACACCCGTACGCTTAATGACAACTTCGCGGCATAACAACACACGACCTTTCTCTTTACCTCGCACCGTGCTTCTAATCCCTCGGCCGTAAACATGTACGGTTACAATACTTTTACGTTTCTGCGATTATTTATATTTCTCCATTTATCGGTTTCCATTATCGGTTATAAAGCATCACTTTGGCACTTGAACGATATTTCATGTTTCCAACGTAGTTTCTAATCCATGCACAGAATTCAGTGGACGGATTGGGAAGTAAAATATTTGACAGAAAAAGTATCGATCAGTATCGATAGCGCGAATTCGAGTTCTGCCACGATAAACGCGCGTATTTTCAATGCATCGCACCTTGATGGAATGTGAAACTTTCGTTAAAAGGCTGCTCGAAAGTCGAAACTGGAAAAGCAGCGAAATAGAAGAAGAAAGAAAGAGGAGAAGCAAACTCTTTATGGACTTGTTTGTCGCTGCATGGCTTTTTACGAATTATTCGAAAAGTTCGAATCCGCGTCAGAACGTAACCGCGAGATCGTTCTAGACCATCGGAGCTTGTAAAGATATGAAATTCGAATTATTCGAATTCAACCCTAGTTTTCACCCAGTTACGTCATTGAAACTGAAACAAAGCTGTCGAAGGGTTGATCGAAGGGTACAGGAAGGGTTGGTATCGTTGTACAAAAATAAATAGACTCTTTGAAGAGACTGAGAAAATATGTCGATAAATCTAGCGTCTCGCTGAGATAGGTCGCGCTGGAAAACAAGTGTCTTCGACGAAGAGCATTAACCGACTCCAGGAGACTTTTATTTTCCCTGATCCCTGTTGTCTTGGATCAGAAGTTGCTTTCGGGGACGAGGAAGACGATGATCCTTCCACCTCGGATAAAGTTTTCGAATTTCTCCCATCCGCTTCGGCCAGCCTCTGTCCGCTTCCCACGATTACCAACCGGCTTCTTTCTGTTATCCTCCTTTCTGACAAATTATACGTTCCTCTACGTGTTATTTACTTTCGTCAGGACGCACAGGATCTTACGATGATATTTACTTCCGGTCGCAGAATGGAATACGGTTTCAAAAATCTTGCGCTTTTCAGTTAGCTCGCTTCCTTGGAAAAGTCGTTCGCGTAGATTGCCCTCGCGAAATCGACGGAAACTGTTCGCTCGATTGATCGCTTGTCCTTTCTTCTTACTCCAGATATCTGCCACCGTCGGGATGATTAAGATCTGTTTTGAATTCTGTTTCTCCTCACTTATCACAGATATTATTTTCCGTCACAAGCCTCGGAATCGAGGATCTTACACACTGGGTTAACTGGAATTTCGAAATTCAGAAATTTTAAAATTCTATTTTATTCTAATTTTTTTTTTTTTCTTGTTTCGAGTCACGCATTTAAAAATGCTGGGACAGTTCGTCGAGTGTCAGGGTGTTACATGCGTATGACGTGAATAATATTCCATAAAATTATTCCGCGCACGCCAACGGCAAATTTCTGATGGATGTATGGACAAGCCTCCTACACGCGCAACTTATAACCGAAAGCGAATATTGCATCACTAATATCTTCGAGACAAGGGACGTAGGTACTGTCCAACAAATTTCAATTCTCTTTATATTTCTCAAATTAGCAGAAATTTAATACACATATTAGTTATTAAATCACGCTATTTTAATAAAATTCTAATAAAATAGAACATTTACACTGCTTTGTCACCTATACAATTCACTATAAGGGTAATATCTTATATCTTACACAGTAACTGATACATATATATAAACATTAAAATTTGCAGTAGAAATTAAAAGAAAGTTACAATAATATAATCGAAACAAAAGTACATGGTATCATTGATAAAAAATATAAACCCACCTACCTTATAATTTAACTGAAGACCATACAATGTTAGCTGCCTTAAATTATTACAGAACATAATTTTCTTATTTGAAATAATAATAGAATTAGAAAAAGAAAAATTACATAAGCACTTACAATAATTTCAGGAGAACTGATACAATAGTAATGAAATTAGTTTTGCAGTCTTATTAAATTCACATCAATTATGTTAACAGTAGTAATGTTATAAATATTTCTTTTTTTTAGAATTGTATTACGCAAACAACTATCACATAACATTACTTAAACGAACTCTAGATTATCTAAAACAACTGTTTATTTAGTTACTTATTTATTCATATAACAAATTAAATATTCTTGAGGTAGCATTGATAAGATTTTAGGAATCTTAAGAATTTCAAAATAAAAATTTAACATCTCTCTGATTTTTACAGTTTATAAAAGATACCTTTTAAAAAGTTCTTTCTGCAATCTAAATATTATAATAAAAAAAAAACTAATATTACATTTTAATTTGTTAATGATTACATGTAAAATAGTGAAGCGAGTAAAAAATTATTTTTCTAAACAGTATTGCAGCAATATTTGTCGTCATTATTAAATACGGTATAAACAAAAACAAACCTGCAAAAACGAAGTTAATAAGAGTCGTAACTCTTAATTAAATCTTAAAAAAAAAAAAGAAAAAAAAAATTGTAATCTGCTATTTACAAAACCAGTGGTTTAAAATTTCGAAGAAAATAAATTGGAAATGCAACACAAATTACCTGTTAGAAAAATACATATCATGACAAATTTTCATATTTATCAAAAATAATATATTTAAGTCTCTTTATCTAATTATCCTTTCGTCATTATAATTAATAAGTACTAATTAACAGTACTTTTAAAAAGGAGCAACTATAATGCTAACAGTCTTAAACAAAATACTTCTAACGTGCAAAGAAAATTTAGTGCAGTGTACCCGAGTTAAGGGGTTGGGTCGGGCTGGACACCTGCGGGGTCTTTCGAGTACCCACACACCCCTACCCCTTAGTAATTAAATACCGAGCAAATTAAATGCTTGAAAACTCTGAAAGGAAAACAGTAGTAATGGAATGGTGATTTCATAAGGTTATCGACAAAATTCAATTTATTTTCCTCAATGATGAATATTATTTTTCAAAATAGTGTCAAGGAACATGTACGCAGAATAAAGATAAGGAAATGTGGGGGATGGACATCAAAATACCACCGTCGAAATACAAACATCTTCATATTTTACAAAGCACTTCCGAACGGATATTCGTTCTCCATACTCGCCCAAGTCGGACAATGAACCATCGTCGTTATTCGTGGAGGAAGAAAAAAAAAAAAAAGAAAAAAAAATGAAAAATCTGCGATGCCTAGGCGATGTCGAGTTACAGAGAATATTGTACGTTTCAAAAATAATACCGTGCCACCTATACAGCTCGTCGTCACTTGTTCTGATTGTATCTTCCTTTCGATGGCCGTCTGCGAGGCTGGCTCGAGACAGCCAGTAAATTCTCCTCGAACGTGTCTACCGTGAAGTCCTGTTCCTTCAGTAATTTCGGAAGTATCCTACTCGTCTGGACGTTCCGTCTGATTAGGCTAACTGGGTTCCTAGACAACGACACTATGCCATTTCTTACGTGGGACTTCCTCTTTTGGCTCGGTATCCGCTTGAGGGCGACCGGTCGCGAGGGTGCTGGCTGCGGTGGTGGAGGTGGTGGCATCTTGGGTGGTGGTAGTCGAGTCGGTACACCGGGTGGTGGTAATCTACTTCCGCCCCCGGGAGTCCTCGACGGACAGGGTGGCGGGAAACATGGAAGAGGAAAGCCTGGCCTAGGTGGCGGTGGAGGCATCGCTGGTCTCGGCGGTGGTCCGTATCTGAACGGCCTCGGTCCGTAAATGGGTGGAGGACCGGATGGCGGTGGAATCGATGGCATACCAGGTGGCGGTGGTATGGGACGGAATCCTGGCGGAGGAGGACCGCCAAAACCGAAGTGTGGCGGTGAAAATGGACCGTCCTTTACGAAACCGCGTCTCGGTGGTACGAAACCGGGCGGTCCCATTGTGTACGATGTGTGTCTGGTGGTGTGCTTGAAACGCATCGGTCTATTGCTTATTACCTCGGACGATATAGGATTCGATAAACCGATCTTAGAGGTATCAATTTTCTCGCGCGGCGTTCTCTTCAGCGCGTTTATGTATATTTCACGCTCGATGGGGTAACCACGAGCCTCCTCGAATGCTGGAACAAACACGAAATGCATGCTTGGTTGACAAACAAGGCTCGCGATTTTAATCCCACGAGATACCAATTAGGTTTCTTCATTAACCTTCGCAGGGTAAATATCAGAGGTGCGAGAGAACGGGAAAATTTTTCGGTACCCCGTTCTCGGGTCAGGTCGAGAACTATTTCAGTCGGTTCGGGATCCACGAAATTTGCAGAAAAATATAGCTATTATACTAATAACGTAAAATAGCAAGTGGAAGAAAATTCACTAATCACTGGCCAATAACCTTAACTTCGACAACAAATTAATCAGAGCATATCAATATGTACAAATAATTGTGAGTACATGTAATCCTGAAAAATTGTAATCTATACGAAGAATAATTATTCCTTCATGATTTATAAAATTTGTTGATTTGTAAAATCGTATTACTTAAAGCTTGCTAATGACAGTCTTTGTGATTTGACATACAACTTGTCAAATTGTGAAAATTATTTATGGAATAGACATATACAAGTTACAACTTGCAACTTATAAATTCACTAATATTATTAGTTGCCAAATTATTGTAGAAGAAAACCCTAGTAACAACGAAAGATCGATATAATTTTACGAATTTAATTGCTGATATTAAATTTTTAATTTTATCATTGAATAAATCAAAACGATTTAATATTAATAATTAAAAAATATTTGCAATTTTAAATTGCCTACCTTTTAAACTGTCTTCAATTTCCCAACCTAATTGCTGTATGAGATATCTGCAATAAAGTACATAAACATTCTAAATGCACTTAATTATATAATACATTAGTTTTATATACATAATATATATAACGTTGTATTTTAATATATGTTTGAAATTTATTATGGTAAATTATTGAAATTTTTTTAACAATAAAATAATGTACAAACCTGCAAATAAGGTACCCAGAACGATTTATACCGTGTGTACAGTGAACACCCACAAGATCATCTGAAACAAAAATAAAATAACAGATTTTCAATTACAATCAATCAAGTAATTAGCTTTCCATGTCGAGGTAATTTCACCTCAAAAAATACTCATCTACAAATACATTTGACATATTAATTTGACTAAAAATTTTTTTTAATTTAAATTCCCTTTAACCTTCATGTTTTTTATTTCAGATTTGTTGTGGCGGGTACCTATAGGCGTGTGAACCAAACCCAATGAAAGCAACATACATAAGGCGAGACGTTCGATTCCACGGGTCATCAATTTAACCCGAAACGCAGGGTCGGCAACTCCTCGAGCCCAGCAAGGGGCTGATTATAATATTACCGCAAATTACCGTCAAAAACTGCGACGAATTCGCAACACTTAGCGACCTTTCTTAACCCTTTCGTCCCTAATGAAAGTAGTCGCGTAATAATGACCGTCACACCCTATCACCTCCTTTCTCCGTATTTCCCTTTTCAGATAAGTATCGAGTACTTTCCAATCACTTCGTACCTCTTTACCTCTTTCCGAATTAAGTGGAGGTCACGCGATGTTGTTTCACCTTCGCGAGCCTCTGAGGAGGATCTTTCAATCCACTTAAAAAATGCAAGAATTTTTTGATCCCTCATCAGACAATTATAATTGCACCCCAACGATAATTAATATATGTCCGTACTAAAAGTATTAAATAATTCTTGAAACTAGTTGAAAAATGACGTAGACATTCAATTAGAAATAACACGGGTACATAAATGCAGAATAACGCAAGATTCTCCGGTTTTGAAGATGCAGAAGAAGCAAGGTAAGCTTATTCCACGTTCCTATCTATCACAGGGTCATCTCGCTTTTGCATACGAAGAAACATACATCTTGCAGAAGACAGGAATATTCTTGGAACACGTCAGCATCTAATGTGGATCTAGAACGAGCTTCCCGCAGAGCAGCAACGTACTAAGCTTGGAAAATAAGCCGATCCTCAGAGAGATTGGCAACGACCTATGACCCTGTTCATCTACCGTATCGGCTTTCTCTGACGATTAAATATCGAGTAATACGTCTTTTCGTTACCTTCCTATCAAACTCTCTGACGTCTAATTAATATCTGTTAACCCTTTCGCTATTATGACCGCTCAGCAACAAAAGGATCGCTGTGCGCTATAAATGACTATAGTAGAAAGCGTGTATATGTCGAAATAGCGGAGGTATTGTAAAAATGAAAAAATAACAATTATGAATTAAATACACTACTCAAAAGAAAAAAGATATTGGAGGGCTGTAAAGGGTTAAATACACTCGGTCGCGTAGCGTCGACAGCCGCATGCAAATGCGGTTTTCGTCTATACCCTGAGGACACGGCCAGGAAATAAGAGAGGCAGGAAGGTGGAGTAGCCAGAAAGATAAGAGGAAGCACCCGGTATTGCATGCCACTCCCTGGTAAACGTTAAGGTTGCTTTTCAGGCTACTAGAGTAGTCGTGAAGTACAACCCGAAGCGACGTGGTTAATGTGGCAATATGATATATAAGCGAGAGGTATGTCGGCTCAAATAGCCCCTGGTAAAAAGGGACTGGCATCGCCTCTTCTTTCGTGTTCCTCCGGAGTTCTAGTAAGAGCGTACCAACCACCGATGGGAAATATATGTAAGGAGCCGTTGAAAACGGGCAAGGACTTTAACGTCCAGTCACGCGTGTACATAAACACGAAAAATATCGTCGGTACGTACAACGCCGACGACTTTTCGGCCAGCCGATTACTACCGTCTTAAATCAACCGAACGATCGAACTTCGAACGTGTTTCGTATCGTTTTCTATACAGGGTGGTCCAATAACTTTGATCACCATAACGGGTTATCCCTGTTTCAACGCATTCCCCTGCGAATTTATTTTAGCAACAATTATGAAACTTGTAGAGGCGGTTTTTTATTTATATTCAAGTATGTTTGAAGTAATATATTCGTGTTTAATTACATAGATTGACTGGCAAATTAAACCAAAAGATAGAATAAAGTAAGCTAATTAATGATACTTTAAGACATCATCCCATAATAATGAGGGAATACGTTGCAACTGCAATTAAGAGTTTCCTCTTTTATATTGTGGCGTGTCAATACGGTATTGGACGTTGGATGAAAGGTACTGATAAATGCTAATTGACGGTCAATGAATGGCCGGTACAGTGGCATCCTCGCTTTGGAATGCCTTTCAACGCATTTCTCTCTCTACCTTTTTTCTATCTCTGAATTTCGCTCCTTCAATTTCAGAATTTCCCACGGACGATTCCAAATTACTTTATAATGAACATTCACTGCCAACGTCAATAAATTGTTGAATTTAATACATTAATATCAAAATAATGAGATACCAAATTTTAGTACTCTTTACTTACCTTTTATTTATTAGTAAAAAGTATTAAAAGAATTTTAATTTAATTAAAAAGAAAATTCCAAAAATTGTGTGAAAACGTAAGATATAAGAATAATAAATAAGATCGATTAGTATGACGTAATGAAAACTCACCTTCGCCACAAGCTGACATAAAATCATCCATCGTTTTAAAGAATCTGAAAGTAAAGAGAACACGTGTTTACTTTTGATCAAATTTTCGTTGGTTATCATAGATAGAAATTTCAAACGATTTATTCATAGATTTGCTAACAAAAGAAAGGAAGTGTACCCTAATCAACGTGAAATCGTTTTGATCTCTCCTCCCAAATGTATCTACGATGAACCGAATTCCACGAAAAGTTACCACTCGTCATTGTGTCAGAATGGGGTAGCCCAATTGTATTATACTATAGAGGCTTAATAGAACCGCTTTAGTGCCTTTTACCTTCCCTAGGGACTCCCTACTGCACCGATTAGTCTAACACGATTATAAGCACTAACTCACTCACCGACTTACCAATTGCCTTCCACCATACTTCAATATCGATAGATTCATGTATGAATAGGGCTGAGAGCTATTATACACCCTGCCACATAATGATCGCTAAAAGCAAATATCTTTCTCGCTGGATCGATAGATGATTTTGTATAAAATCATAAACCAGGGACAAATATATTTTATAATAATTATTTCTGAAAATGATTACAGTAACACTTTTTTTCACTTATAAAGACATTCCATTTACCCCTGAATTATCCTATAATATTTCAAACACAGTACGTTTCCTACTGTCTGAAAAAAAAAATCAAGAGTCAAAACACGAGAAGACACATTTATCAAAGAACGACTATAGTACCTCCTGAGAATGAAATATCGAAAAATGGTCGGGCTGAGATCCGCGCATCGAGGCGCCGGCGGAACGTGAAAAATGACGAGCGTTAAATTAATTTCACTTCGAATTTGAATTACAGATTCGACGTGGATGCGGAGATACGTATGGACGAGCCTCTTCACGCCCTGCCCGCTTGAAATTTCCCCGTCGAGAGAATCGTCGATCGAACGCCAGGCTCATCAACCTCCCCCACGTCCTCATCCCTCCCCTTATCGTCATTAACGTTCTCCTTTTCCTTCTTTTTAGACAATCGAATTCAGAAGCTTCGTCATAAATATTTAAAACAATTTTTAAGATTTCATAAACACCTCTCGACCCTGAGTATACACCTTTAAATAGCACATTCAATGTTCTTCCCCTAGCAATAAAATTTTTCAACGGACCAATGTTGTGTAATTAAATAAATTTAAAATCACAGAACTCGCTTGATTTTGATCTGAAAATTTATCGTTACGCGCGCTTTCATTGCACGTAAATACGCGCTTAATCGTTTGTAGGATGTACGCGTGCGGAGGACCACACACTGTGCGATATTCAAATGAACTCCGCTTGTCCTGTACTATCTCGATGCCATAAATGTCTCTTCGCGATTTCACGAGCATCTCCTTATTTCGGTTCAACTCCGTGACGTGCAATATCATCGAAGCATTTCGGTATTTATGCAGACCGAATATCCCACTTTGCTGGCCAGAAGCTGATTTTCAACGTGTTTCACGACCGTGTTTACCTTTCTTTATTGCGAACAAGGAAAAGTATTCAACTATATTTTCAATAGTTTCAAACGAAACAAGATTTTTGAAAATAAAAGTATTAATGAAGTATTGAAATTTAAAATAAAGATATCAAATTAATTTGTACACCTAATAACAATCTTCTTACTGCAATGTACAAATAAAAGAACCATTAAACCTAGAATGAGCAATAATCCTAGAAGGCTTGTTGAAAAATATGATAGTCGATAGTAAAAATGTGATCTAGCACAGATTACGTAAAATCATTATATTTGGCGAAGAATTCAAAATTAAGTGTATTATAATCATAATTAAATTCATGGTCTGAATAACAATGTGTACGTGCGGCCCCACCCACGAATGCACTGAAGAATATTTCACTGCGACGTCTGATCTTCCGTATGTAATTAACCTATATCTGATTACAAAGATTCGTTAAATTCTGAAATTGTTACAGAAGCTCGAAGTACTCGTCATGGCGAACACCTGTAGATCGAAGCATGCAAAGTGAATTCTGTCCACCTGATTGTCCAGCACCATCGTCCCCAAGGACACCAAAATCACAATCAATTCCACCCCAGGTTCCAATGGCACCACTAAGGACTCTCAGGCGACGCCCAGAATTAGCAGCTGGGGTAGCTATAGCAGCTCGTCGCATAGATTGTATGTCAATTTCAATTATATTTTTGTGAAAATAGAATTATTATATTATTTCACATTTTTGTAATAGGTATAACGATTCTCTTTAATTAATAAGCAAAATTAAAAACTAAAATCATAATATAATTATTACTAATAATCTGTATATCTGATTCTTAACTATTTTATTTACAGTCGAACGAATGCGATTGTCAGGGTCAAGTTTAGATGACACTCGAGATGATATGTTTGATGATTCAGATTTCACAGGTAAATAAATTCTTATACTCAGTCTAAAGAACCTCAAAGCAATAAAATTTCCAATTTATACATACATATTTGATACATATACAGGAAGACAACCACTAGCTGCATCTAGTTTTCGATCTCCATCCCCTCCAGCTGGAGGCACAAGACAATCAACACCAGGAACCTACAGATTGCGACGAGCAAGAACCCCACAATTCCCAGCTGTATCCAGACAACAGCCACCCAGAATGACTCAAATGACACCCTGCGGAAAATGCTTACGAGTAAGCATTTTAATCATACAGTGGGTTATCAAATTATTAGAGCCACAGTGTGAAAAATATTTTCTTCGTTTTCTTAGAGAAATAAGAATCATATGATAATTTTTTACAATGAATAATCCCTAATTATTAAAATTAAATTTAGTTTATTTAATTATAAAGAATACAATTAAAAAGTAACAATAAAGTTAATTATGCAGATGACTCTAATAATCTAATCGCCCACTGCACCTAATTAACAACCACTTCTGAATTGAAAAGGACGAATAATTAATACTATTATTGCTAATCATCAATTTTTCAATAGATGTGACGAAACTGATGCGATGAAATTGTGAGCAGAAAATTCTACTATTGCACTTTCAAGTAAGTTTTCATTTTAACCAAATATTTATTACGTATATAGAAAACGTGCCTTATTTTTGCTACACCATAGAGAGAACTTCTCGATTCAAGGACTCCATACATCTTCGCCACTTCACGGACGTATTAAAGTGGTCAATTGAATTAAATTTGAATAGATCATGTATTCTGCATCCTTCAAATTTTATTACTGCGAATCAGAATGGATAGGTGGAAAAGGTAGCATGGTAGAAGGTGAAATCCTTCGTATGTTTGAAGATGTTTAATGCATGGACCTAGTTGACCACTATTTATATGACCGTATTCTCAACAGACACCCGGGACACCCAGGAACCTGAAGAGATCGTAGAAGTACTCCGCAAACACTCTTCGCTGTTTTTCAATCAGGGCCACATTCGCTCGCTCATATGGGCTAGTGTGTGCCCTCACCTTTGTTGTTTGCCGGTTTTCAGGGTCGCACCTTCCTCATGATTTGTCATCATGATAACCACTATTACTTTTCACTTCCTCGTATAATTGAAAGTTTTACGACGAAGATATGTATTAGTATTGTGGTTTTCATAAATGGAAGAGCAAATTTTTGCAAAGTAAATTTGCAATGATATGAAATATTTCACATTTCAATTAAGAATATTTAATATTTTTTAATTAAAAAGAAATTACTATTACTATTAAGGGTACCAAAAATTACGGGTTCGAGGGGATTCGATCCAAAGAATTGTCAGGCTACGATTTCGAAATTCTGAATTATTAAAAATTCAAGAAATTTATTTATAGACACCATAAGAATCTACAATCATCCCTCCCCTTGTAAGGACAGGCGTTCTTCATAAGCAATCCCTAACGAACTAAAGACGAATTAGAAAAAGAATTAATTCTTTTAAGTCAGGAAAGGGTTAGATAAGACACGTGGCTCAGTATACGTAACATATCGTACGCAGAAAAGGGAGGAAGAGAGAAAAGATAAATGGTGGCAAATTTACGTAATGAAGCGATCCGTCCGGGTGGTCCCAAGCACGAGGACGCGTTTCCTCGTCATCTTGGCAATCCTCCCAAGGTGGAGAAAACAAAGAGAGGCGAAGAGAATTTCGAGGACGAGTGGCGGGAACTCCGACTGGGTCCACTGGTCGAATTAACGGTACCGGAAGTATGAGACAACGTGCACACGTCCTCGTATTATGCATACGAGAGAACGTAAAGCATCTTTTACTACCCACAATCGCTTCCCAAAACGTTTCTCTTTCGTTCTCGTGCCAACGCTGTCACAGCATTTCGTTTTCTCGTGTGGCAGACGCGATAAGCGTCAAAATATTTAACGCATCTTTGTACGGTCGGATAATTTTACCTTTTCGATAGCATTTTAAGGAGATGGGTACAGATTATCTTTTCCGCAGAGTAATCTTTAACTCTGTATAAAAAATATTGCATTCCCTTCTCGTTGATGCCATGATACCTGGACACTCTTGGGTTGGCGAGATTCGTTGGAAATTAAAAAATTTCAGAATTTTGGAATCTTAAAGTTTAAAAATAGTGGAGTCCTCCCACATTTTTGAGGAGGGACCGGTCCAGTTTTTAGACATGGGATTTGACAAAAATAGATACCATACCCTGCTTGACCCCTCTGAGTACAAGAATTCATTTATATCAAATAAATTTTATGTACTAAACATGAAAATAATTTCATCAAACGGTACACGTTGAAAGCGAGACTTCCCTTATGTAGGTGCATCTTCGCACACCCTTCTAACTTTGGTAAAGAATTTCTTTGTATTCGTGGGATATATGAGCACCGTCTGGCAGTGCAAAACAGAGAACACGTGGAAACCTATGTTCGATGTCTCAGTGAATAAAGACGTCGTTGCTGAAGCGTCAACACCCACGTCCTTTGTCGCGCGACGGGTACATTGTTGTGGACTTGCCTCGAATCTTCGAGGAACACGGTTCGAACTCATTTAGGGAACCCGAGTCTGTATACTGTCAACGTGCTAGTGAATACCATGCAACTTGATCACTGTTAGCTGTATCGCGTTACGGTAACTTGTAAAACTTTCAGTCAGATTTAAACACACCGTGAAACTAACCGACTACATACTTCTTTCATGAAATTAACTATAATTAAAGAGTTTTAACCTGGGAGGAAATTAATCGAAACCTGTCATGTATAATACAAGAGGTAAAATTTAAATTTACCCTGTGCGATGAATTTTTTTTATAAATGTAAAATAGTAAAATTACAGCTGACGAAATTGCCACACAAGTTGTACGTGGAACAAAGATAAACTCCGCAAAAAAGGTAATATAATAAAATATGTGAATGTACAAATGCATGGGTTCAGCTTTCGGTAAATCATTTCATATTTACTGCAGTTAATTAGGCGACCGGTCATTATGCCAGTTTTACACGTTATGGTCAGAGAGTACCTTTAATGTATATTCGCGAATAACAGACTTAATGTGACAGTAATGCTCAAAGGTTAATACATGAATGTCGTTTGCAACTGGTAGTATGTTGAAACTTCAAGAATTTTTGTAGAAACATAAATCAGTAGAAAAGTATTAAAAAAATGAAATAAAAAAATGCTAGGACACTTACTTTTTCACGACATCCATGGTGGGAATTTCCCGCCCACGCACCATAATCTTTTCATATTTAACGCCACAGTTTGTAAATTCCTGTAACAAAATGATAGCAGAAATAAGTGTTAATATTCATTGTTGATAAAGTGTCTTCGATTGAAATTTAATTAAATAACACTTTGAGGAAACATTATGACTAACACCTAATGTCAAAGACTAATGTTTTGTCTTGCAACCACATTATGCGTACAGTTTCTGAAGGACCACCCTGTACCCTCCAATTAGACGTGGGCGACATCAAAGGATCTCTGTATTAATTATAAATACCCCGGTTATCGATGCCGAAAGGCGGTGTCGTATTTATCAAATATTTTTCTCTCGCGTAGAAAATGATTACCCGAGGGAAGAAAAAAGAAGGTGAAAGAACCGAGTACAAGCTCGCCTCTAGGACTCGCTGGTATAATTGATCGGTCTTAGTTTGTTACAGGTCTGACCTAAAAAAAAGTCGAGACACAATCCCGCTACGTAGAAGACGAAAACTTAGCGATCGTGTTGTCGACGAACAGCTATTCCAAAAATCTAATAATAAGTTCATTAGCCTTTACGGTCCCTTTTATCCCCCCTTCACAAATTAGCCGGGACCCGTTTGAAGAGTTTTAAACGCCAAACAAAGTCAGTCCTAATTTAGACGTAATATTCTGTCCTTAGGGAAGAAATGGTCTATTAGGTTGTTAGGGAAGGAATAAAAGGTAAAAGGAAGAGAAAGTAAAAGAGAGACGACGAGAAGAGATAAGTGAAGACAGTGCAAAGGAGAGTTTCGACCAGACACGTTCCTGGATATCTGTCCAATCAAGGAATGTAGCTAGTGACAGTTTACAAAAGGGACTAAAAAAGAATAGGTGTCCCTTGTTTTCATCAGATTACAACGTTCCACGAGATATCATTATCACGACAAATTAAATTCAGCAGACAACTTTTCTTTCACTATTGTCATTAATCAATTTCCTATTAAATTAACTTTCTTTAAGCTTCTAAAACTAAACAGATTTGGGTTATATTTTATTTATAGTGAATATGGTTATCGTTTGACCATCAATAAACAAAAGTTGACAAAACGACAGAGCTTTGAAACAGCAACTTTGATTTTTATTCGAACATTTTTATTTCTCGTCCCCCGGGAAAACAGTAATTTTAAAGATATCAAAAAGTTTTTAGGTCCAGTGATAACCTGAAGTGTATGTAAAATTTCAAGTCAATCCACCCAGCTATTAAATATAGCTTACCTTTTCGTCATAGTACCGATCTGTGTTTGTCAGGTCGATGATATACTTGAGACGCGGAACCGCTTGTAGTAGTATCGACGTTGTGAATCTGCAACAATGTATAATAATCGAGTTATTATAAGGGGATATATTTTTAAATAATTTGAAATCTAATTTATTTTTAAAATGTCACCGCGGGGTGGATCAATGATTATAAATTGTAATATGATAATTTATTTTTCCAATTCGTTTACAATTTAAAAGTAGGTGTCTAATGCCGTCCAAGAGAACAAAATGATCTTACTTTAATTAAAGTAAGTCAGTTTGCTTTATCTCACCATACGATGTCTCCATTCGACGGTGTTGAGAACACAAAAGAATCCACCGACTGTCATGGTGCCCCACGGTTAAGAAAGGACCTTTTTTTTTCAGAGCGTGATCCGGACAACGCGATAATATATTAGGGGAGTAAAGAATCTGGGATCCCAAAGGAAAGGGACGGAATTAGGCGGGGGTGTCGGCCGAAATAGTTTCAGCATCCCTTTCGATATATCAAATTCTCCTAGGAAATCATACCACATGCTTCTACATATAAGAAGCTAGCACGGGTCAGCTATATTCCGAACGAGTGTTTCTCATAAATAAACAACTCTCGTCGCTCGTGTTAAAAATAAAAGAAGCCGAAATTTATTGGAATAATAATCGATTTAAAAGCTATTAACGAACACCTAGCTTGCCCTATTTGATTTATTAGACGAATGAAATAAAATTCACTGAACTAATTCGTGTTCTTCAAAAAGAATATATTTATGCAAATATTGATATAGATTATCATTTTAACTCACCGTTGTTCGGGCTCTAAATTGTTGCTCACAGTCTGAAACAAAAAGAAATACATTAGTCGTATAATAAAATAATACAATTATTACGTGAAATATTTTTAGAAAGTCTTGAATTTAGAAATATCAATTTATTTCCTGTATTTTAATATACCTTAATTCTCACTGTTCGCACTATTTTGCATATCTCAACCTCTTATAAATGCATCCAAATTCGCACCCTATTAATAACCCTAATGACTTTACACTTCTATGCATAACGCACTTATAAAAAAGGTGTTAAGGATCATGTTTGAGTAGGTTCATCATTTACAAAACTCACTACCTCTGTATTGACCCGTATCTATGATTTCGATTGGGATAAAACGCAAATCATCTTCCACCTCCCAGTAATTAGTAACACGAGCCCAAGGGAAATAAAAAAAGTAAGATCTCGTGCAGCGTTCACGAATAGCATTTACCTTTCGAATGATTGATTAGTCGAAATTTCGAACCGAATAAAGATACACGATGACAGCGATAATCGTGCTTGGAACGATGATTCTGCGATATTTTCAAGACTCTACTGTCACTGCTACCCTACCTCCCTCTTTTATCACTCTACAAATTAACTTTGTTAATTGAAAATTGCACCTCATTATTGACCAGGGACATTCACGTTGATATTGATTTTAATATACAACACTGGCATCTATTTTACGTAGTTTGAGAGCACGTAAATTGAAAGTTTCGTTGGTTCGGGATCGGTTGTACCATCGCACTCGCTATGGGTGGGCTAATGGTAATTACAGGTTTAGACTCCGCGATCCGATTGACTGGGCGGAGAGATCGTATCTACGGATGAGTGCGGAATGAACATCGGTCGCATTAATAACGGCTTGGTATAGCTCTCGTATCCAAGCATAATAATCCGACGTTGACTAGGCGTGGGACTATCGTATCTTAATAGTAGCGCTTTCATAGTTGCCATGGTTAACTTACAACGCGTAATCCTATCGCAACAATACGTCTGACAAGCGCCATCGTGTGTAATGATCAATCAAATATGGGCTACTATTAATTAAAATTAAAACTAAAACAAAATTAATGAAATATCTTTGCGTATTCTTATATCTTCGAATAATGGGGTCATTAACCTTGTATCTGATTGACCTACGCGGAATCTTACTTGTCAGCATAAATACCTATACGAAAGAAAGTAAAAGAAGAAGAAGAAGAGGACATTGGCCAGTTGCGAAATTTACTAACTCGGCCCGCGTCAGGGGTAGTTTATTTTTCTCACGATACAGTATGTACACCTTTCTTCGGATGAAAGCTGCATCGGTCTCTCTGCTGATTCCACCATTCAATTTCACGATCGTTAGTCTAAAATACGACCGAGACTAAATCAGGATTATCAGCTGACAAGCTGCGCCTCTATTGTCAAACTCCATAGCGGTCCATACCAACTCGCGTACAAAAATCTTTTCATATGCACTGCTATTTCTCTATTCGTTAATTTAATTCATGTGCATTATTAAAAAATATCCGTACTAATGAATTGTTTTCTTTCTCAGGTCAATGTTACCTGGTACCAAAGGAAGGCAAGCTGACATTTTTAAAATTAAGCGAATCAAAAATTAATTTTTAATTTTCTTTGTTTAATCAAGTAGAATTATAATCAGTGTAGCATTATACTGAATGGACGGATTCGCACGAAAGCCGAATACGGTGAATAGCCTGTGGAAAACAGCAAATACTGGCATGCGACGTAGGCGTGAAGCAACGGTAGGTATCGGTGGTATTTATTGAAAATATTTATGAGGGGTGCGCTTTCATGCTTTTGCGCCGAGTGGGCCGTAATACTTGGAAGGTCCTCGCCCCGTGCAATTTCGGCGGAACTGTTGTGAGAAATTTCATGGAAGGAATCACGAGAGGCGTCCACGGATTCAACCGTGAACGTATCGACGTCACATTGCCTTTTTATTCATTCACCAACGAATATTATTAAAAATATGACTGTTACGTTTTTCTCTTTCTTCATTAATCAATCTATCAATCACTTCAAATTAATTCTCGTGAAAATATTTTAAAATACAACATTTTTAGTTAAACGATCATACTGAAAGATTCAATTCGACTAAAAGATTCGAAGATTCAGATTAGACTGAAAGCGCGCGTTTACTAATTCAATTTTGTAACACAAATTCATGGATACTACTGTAGAAACAACTTTAATGGTTCGTACGCTGTAAAGATTCAAGAGTAATTGAATTCCTAAGTTAATGGAGAGTTTTGTTACTTAACTCCGTACGCGAAACGTTTTTAGCCGAGTACAAACATACCGAAATTTAATATACATCCTGTAACAAACATAACCGAGCTCATAGAGAGAAATAGCGAACGCTGCTTAACATGATACTAGGTTACCATATCTTTTCCTGGATCATAAAATTTTGTCGTAGTCACCGAGCGTGGATAACGACTACTGTAAGAAACAGATTTATATCCGTTCCAAATATCTTAATTTCACAAGTAACGTTAGATGAGTGCAAAAGTTCTGTCGGTTTCTGTGTTACCCACTAATAGTTTTATTTAAAAGCTATGAATAATTAAAATTTAAACGATCCAGTTTGCAAAAATGAATATCGGTAAACAAAACATTCAGATTTATAGAAAAATGAAAATTTCAGCCAGTACAGTGATCCTTCCAGCCCTCCGAAGATTAAATTCTCTTCTGAACAAGGAGCAAGCTGAAGAAAGAGAAAAACATAGGAAGAGAGGAACAGCTCATGGGAAGAACATTACGTTTATGAACGCAGTCGCCACGATTATACTTACTGTTATAGAATGGTACGAGAATGCCATATAGACTGCTATATGGCTGCCGCCAACTGATATATGCGCGACGTTATCTGTATCCACTTATCTTCTCGTTTGGCAGAAGATTTGAAGCGATTTAAAATGGATTACTTGAACTGGTCAGACGTGTGCAACAGAAGAACGTGTGGAAAGTAACACCTACTAATTTCACCGATCATTTCTATCTATTATTATGTCCATTCTGATAAAATAAAATGGTAAAATTGAACGATCAACAAATTCGATGAATAGGAATTTTTATGGAAAAAGAAATGAAAAAGTGAAATTTATGAACCTTCGAAATTTTATCACCGGTAGCCACGACCGATTGTCCAAGCAATGGTACCAGTAGCCATGGGGGATCTTTTAAGGAATTCTCTGTTGTTTCCCGCTCTTTTTCTTTCCACAGATCCCGCCTGTCGATAAGTTGACAATTAAAGGGCGCTAGTCTTTCAGAAGGAATCGTTAAATATGGAAATAAACCCGCCCACTAGATTTTTCGAGGAATCTTCTTGAAAAGGGAAAAGCTTCTCTCTTGGGTTTACATAAAAATTGACTAATATCGGGATCATGTTTAGATACGTTTAGAAATTTTATTAGCTTTTCTCCAAAAGTAAATGCTGTATTCTGATACAGCAATACAGGTCGTGTCATAAGACGTGGACCAATTTCAGCGATGAATTTAATGTACATAAATTATAATTGAGAAATTTTTCTATTAATAGTAAATTGTTTATTTCATTTTTTAAAGTGATAATATGCTAATCTTTCACTGTGACCACGTATTATGACACGTCCTGTATAGTTTCGCCATTCTCTGTAGATAACGAATTAGTATTGGCTGGACATGAGATTTTATAGACTGCCATTAGACGGGTCTGTGTTCCCTATCACCGGGTATCATGAAAGCTTGGCAGGACAGCGGTTCGGAACGTGTTTCTGGTTGAACATAAATAATAGGACCACATCGGGAATCGCTATAATTCAATTCACACCTGATAACTGCGACCATAGAATTTCCATATTACAGGGAGTAATAAAATTAAAAATATTTTCGGGGCGGTCCGTACACCCCGGGGGGTCCACGATGCTCTTCCTCTACTCTTTCGGAACGAACGAGCCGAGGATCGCGATCCTTCACATTTGCTGTCGTACGAATTTGTTCCTCGAATTTGTTTCTCGTTGTCTTCGGTGGTCTTTCCTCGTGTACGACAAATGGCATGCGACCGACAAAAACGAAACCGCGTGCCAAAGAACCGCCACCTTTCTTTTTTTTTTCGAAAACAGGTCTACAGAATTCCACCAATGTTTCCAAATCCGCCACCCATAAGAAATTCATAAACGATTAATTAGAATCGTTGAACAGCAACTCTGCACCCACAATTTTTTTTAAGAAAATATTTTTTCTTTTATTTCATAAACGAGCTGTTCCTCTGTCGTGTAAACTATTTTCTACCTGTGCAAATATTTTCTCTAAAGATATTAATGGATATCTTTTAATTACTTTAACACTATAAAATCATTAATCCTAATTTATATAATGAAAATTTGTAGCTCGTTATAACTCCTCGTCCCAGGATAAATTCCATCCTCACAGATAAATTACGATATTACGAAAAAGAAATCTATTATTTTCCTCGAGCCAACAGATATCCAGCTGACAGTCATAAATTTCAGTCAACCGAACTGACCAAAGAATCAATTTCGCCGACAGCGAGACGAGTTCGGTAACCTATAATCTATACACACTTAATCCGTATCACGCTCGAAGGCGTTATTTTTCCAGGATACCTCTCACCAAACATTCCCCAATTCCTTTCTCTCCCCTAGGAATTGATTATTTTAGCTACAGGGGTGAGAATACATTATACATTAACGAAGGAAGCGGCAGGACGAAGAAAAAAAAAACAAGATTAACGACTCTCAGGTATTAAACGGGCGGCGACTCGAATGGGAATCGGATCGTTTAAACAAATGTTTGTTTCCTGCCTTCGACAGTCTGCACCTTCCTTCGCGGGACGTGCAAAGGTGGTGCACCTTTAGATCTACCGCCGACGCGAAATCATCCCTCGAATACACACCCCCTGTCTATAAGTATTGGGTGCAGAAATGAATTCCCTCCGACTGACTTCATTAAATTTAGTAGTGGTACAGTTCCCACTCGATAATTCCCTGTCTGTAAAGGAGCTAACGTGGT